CTACTGGTTCTTTTTTTTATGAATATTGAATATAATTGTTAAGTAACAGCTTCTTACGTTTATTAATACGAATAATCATTTGCTAATAAAGTGAATAAAGTCAAAGATTTAATTTTAACACTGTTTTATTATATGCATAATCACGTAACATAATTTCAACAGTAATTATAAAAGTCAAAGCTTTTTTCATATCGTCACTGTGCTTACAAAAACCTACAAACAAATACAAAATTGTACAACAAGTACTTAATGTACTGTAATGTGCTCATAATATCCATATTTGAATTACTGTTGCGAACATAATGTCCTGATATATCCATGTTTTAATTAATTTTGAAAATGTGTTTTTAACTGAATGTTTTATAGTTTGGGAATAAACTACAATACTTGTTATTAGAATTACATTTTTTTTTGTTTTGACGTTGGTCTTGCTTCAGCAAAGTACAAAGCCAATAATATTTTCCAGGTTATTTTACAGTGTGAAATATACCACAATATACCCAATATACAATATTCGGTGTGAAACATTATACAAGGTAATAAAAACATGTTAACTATATTTTTGTTACATTTTTAACTATTTCAAATAATAAGCAAAGGATATTTTTTCAGTCTGTCCAACTTCATGAACACTAATTTTTGAACTAAATTGAATTTATCCAAAAGATGTTTATCTGGTTTTGCAGGCTCAGCGATGGTTTGCAAATTTGGATATTTAGACCCACATTATTTCCAGATTCCAATTTAATTGTGTAATTGAATTTTTAGTGGAATAAACAAATGACACTACCGATATCTGAATGCAAATATATACATACTTCCATTTGCACGTTTTTTTCCTTCGGCTAAAAGACACGCTTTCCATTGATTCGTATTTGTTGACTTCCGTGTGTAAAAGTAGGCGAACTCATGATGAGTAATGTGTAGAATAAGTGAAAATATTTCCAGACGTTTATTATGTTTCTTTTTTCAAATTAATAAATAACATTTTATAATGTTACATTTTGTAATGTTTTTATGTAATAAAAACGCTGCATGCCTTCTTTATATTAGGTAGAATTACGTTGAGGCTATAAATTAATAGGATCCCTTTACTTTATGTTGATAACATAGGCGTTCGCCAAAAATTTGCAGTAGGGTAATACATAAAGGAGTTTTCTTTGACCAATACCGGCCATGTGTTTCACATGGAATAAAATTAATTATTATCAATGAAAATTATATTTTTCCATATTAAGTTAGTTGCTTCATTTGAGAATGTTCTCTACACATTTACTATTTTTTAAATTCCTACATCTTCTTGTTTTTTTATATACGAGCGTTTTCATTTGAATTGTTAAGGACTTAAGAGCCGTTGTCAATCTGTCGGTCCGTTTGTTTGTCTGTATGCGATATCTCTTAAAAGTCTTGGGAATTTCATGAGTTTTGAATCCATAGTTCTTCTTCTTTTCACGTTTTTAAATTACATTTTAGAATTCTGCCATATTCTTCAATACTCCCTCTGTTGTATGGGTTTATTTTCTGCTGCTACTTCAGTTAAAACTTGATATGGTTGCTCCATTATTTAAGATACTATAATAGGATATTAGGATATACATTATATTCGGAATGCTTGAATGGATAATGCAAAACAAATAACTACTTCACGATTTGTTGTTTTTTTGTCTTTTCACTTTTATATTTCTCAAAAAAAAAAAAAACAATTAAGAAACAAAATATCTTTTTTCACTTTTCACGTGTCCAATGTTTCTAATTTTTAGTCTATTTTGGAAGTTATAAATTTATTATTTAGTCTAATTTATAAATTTTCTGCCATGCCTTTATTTAGTTTTAAAGGTCTTTCTACCTTTGCCATTACTACCTACCTCTCTAAATACATTCTCGGAAAGTTAATACTAGGAAAGTTATTTACGTTTCAGTAAAAATTCCTAAATTACTCATTTAATGAACGCCTATGCTATTTATTTAACCCAAAGCACCTATTATAATCAAACCTGACGTCAACAGTTTGATAAATTTTATTATAGCACATTATTAACAGTATCATCGGTTTAGCGGCGTTTCTTTAATAAGAGTGACCTTTAAATATACCAAAAAACTTCCATAATGAATTTTTTATATTTTTAATAGTAGTTCAAGTATTTTGTGCCAAAGGTAGTTTTGTATTTTAAAATATTTTTGTTGTTGTTTATTTTGGATCATCTGAAGATAAACACATTATTTAGATTTACTTGAACGAAAATGTAAATTTTACTAGATTATTATGTATTTATTACTGTTAGAAGACATAAAATAATCATAAAACAACTGTACGTTTTTTTGGCAAAAGTGACTTGAATTTTGCGAATACTTCTGAGGAAATTCAGATTAAATTATGACCAAATTTTGACAAAATTTTTAGAAATGCACTTTGGCTAGGAACAAACGTTTTGTGCCTTTCAAAAAAAGTTTCGCGGCTAAAGAAAATTCCGTTTTAATTGTTTATGGATTTTCAAAATGCATGTGAGAAACTTTAATAGAAAATAATAAAAATTGACTAATAATAAAAGTAATTAATTACCAACGAAGTAATCTGTAAACGAGTCTTAACTTAGCCTAGAAGGTTTTATTCTGTCTTGAAAATAGAAAAAGCATTTAATCATAAATATTGGAATAAAAGCAAATGCGAATTGCTTAATGTAATTAGATATGCCGATTAAACGGTAATTGTATAAACAATTTGAACACCTCCAAATTGTGTTTAAGTAGAAGAAGAGCAGATGGGTATTAAAATAAACAAAAGTGAAATAAAATATGTATATGGTTTTCAGCCATAACCTATATCCAAGTATGAAACTCGAGATAACCTTTGAGAGGGCGCGCCTTAATACTGCTCTACTGGGCGTGTGCTAACTATCGGTCCGCATATTATGGTCCGCATGTTATGGTTCGCATTTTGGCCTTAAAATACAGAATATTCGCTAAGGTTTAAATAATTACGTTAGTGCGACTAACATTTTTAAAAAATCACACATGATAAATTATTTTAGATTCAGATGTTATTCAGCATTTTTGCTGTTTATTATTAAGTTTATTATTTCGTATTTTTCATTATTTGTTCCAGTTTCTTTATTAATACGTAAAATTCTGGCTCCAATTTTACTTTCCACTGGTTAGTAGTCCGAGTCTGTATTTTCTCCTCGTCTGCTGGGTACGTTACATCTGATTGGTAGAGCCAATAATAACATTGAGCCAATAATAACGTTGATAGAGCCAATAATAACTTGATTTATCATGATCACTGTTCACTTCATATTATAAGAAGTTACTAGATTTATTAACCGAATGCCATTATCATTTGATATTTCTTGAAGACGTTGATTTCCTATGGTTGGTAGGAATCGTTGCCCTTTTCCGATTTTTGCGTTGTCACCATAAATAATTTTCTTCACCATAATGAAATCATTCTTGGGGCATGCATTGTATTTAGTTCCTTATTCTTCATAAAACTATTTCTTGGTATCGTTAAAGAGGCTTTGTTTAAAAAAGTTCCTTTTAGTCTCAGAATACGGGGTTTATTGCACGAAAGTCCCTTATAAGGTGTTTGATTTTTTATCAGCACAACTATAGAATATTATTAAGCCTCTTTTTTTCTATAGTGACATTCCTGGTCCATCTAGTTTCTTGCAGAGCTATTGTATCCAATTTATAATTTCATGCAGTGTGTTAATTCATTGAGCAAATTTTGGAGGGCAAGTAGGTCTGTATAGAGATCGTACGTTCCATGTCGCGTTTCTTAAATCATGTACCTTTTTCTTGCATAGTCGGTCAGTCCGATTTCCCTTATTTAAACACTAGTAACGACTGGTTTATACAAGAATGGTTTGTTAGCCCTAAACCCAACTATTAACGTGAATGACCGGAATTTTCTGTCGGGGTTTATTCCTTTAGCCGATTGGCTCCAGTTTTAAGGTTCTGGAACTCGCCTTGCGCCCTCTACATTAGCTACATGACACACACCACTTGTACTCCACGAATTCCAAGAGGTCACGACGTAGCCGTGAACGTGGGTTTGCTTGTTGGCTTGTGAAAGCTGTGGTATGTCTCAGAGTTTTCTTGTAACATGGTTATCTATTCCTTGTTACCTCTGAGACCTAATACAATCCATTTGACCGCCAAATGGGTTCGTTCGTAACCTCAAAGCAATATTGGACCTCATACATGAAGTGAATAACACAGAGAGTGAAGAAGTATTGTGGAGATATACTCAACTAAAATAAAGAGTTACTGAGAAATGGATATCGAATATTGTAATTAATTTGCAAAGGAAAATACAACGTTGAACAGTGAACAGCAAAGAGAAAAAATTAATTGGTTGAAAAACAGATTATTGTATCAAAATACAAACTCATTTTCAAGCAACAACTTTATCATCATCGATAGAAGATCGTCATCGCATTCATACATACAGTTCTACACCAAATTTTCATAGGGTCTATAAACAATATCTTGGTTCGGAATTTATATTATTGAATTTAGTAAATCCCTTCACCATACTGTTTATTTTATTGATAGTTATATTTTAACTGTATTTACAAAATAATCAAATAATTAATATTTGCAATTATTTAATTTTTTAAAAATATTAACAATTTTGGAAGACATGATCCATATTTGTACCTTATTTGTGAAGGATTACGAAGCAACAAAACCAGCCTATTTTGTTATGAGTAAATTGCGTTCTAAATATTTACAGCCTCGACTAGAGTAAATATACAAAGACTAATTGGTTCGTATGTATAAATTTTTTTCAAAATTCTTTTTAAGCCGACCCTCTTTTATTATTACAAAAGAAACATGAGCCAATCGTTTTCACAAATCATTTTTTGTAATTTTTGTTTTGTTCATGTCTTTGAGTAATTCTCAATTAAATATAAAAAAAATAATTATGAAATAATTTTTTATTGATTGCATCCTTTGTTACCTTTACACAATTTATATGTGTCGGCGGATTGTTTCAGGGGTAATGCAGGCCACGTTGTGTAGCGGATCGAAGATGGAAAAAAGGTACAGCCCGAGCTTCCGTGACGAACATAGTAAGCCCAAGGCGGACAGGAAGAGGAAGAGAGAAGAAGTTTATAAGTAAGTTTTGTAAAATTTATTATTGTAAGAAAAATCATTGTTACACTGTCGCTTGTGAGGCTTAGTGATACTTTACGAAGTACTTGAGTGTTTATTTTTAGCAAAAAGGCATTGTAGACATACACGCCCTTTGTTAGAAGATATGTAGGTCGTATTGCAAGGTGTATCTAGTAATTTAGATCATTTCTAAAATAAATACGCATTAGTGTACACCTACATTGGAACCGTATTTCTCCGATCCGATATCGGGCGACGTCGGCCGACGTCGGATTGAAAACAAACTCAAAGTATTAAATCATAGTGCCTACACTGCTTCTATGACGAAGCAGTATAGGCACTCTGATTTAATACCTTGAGTTTGTTTTTAGTGTACACCTACATTGGAACCGTATTTCTCCCGATCCGATATCGGGCGACGTCGGCCGACGTCGGATTGAAAACAAACTCAAGGTATTAAATCATAGTGCCTATACTGCTTCCGTGACGAAGCAGTATAGGCACTCTGATTTAATACCTTGAGTTTGTTTTTAATCCGACGTCGGCCGACGTCGCCAGATATCGGATCGGGAGAAATACGGTTTCAATGTAGGTGTCCACTTATTAAAAATTTTTATTTAACAAAATATATAAACACAAGACAATTACTCAATACACTTCAAAAGTCATCATCTTGGTTGCTGCCTGTCTGAAATACTCATTACGGTTTTAAGAAAGTTAATAAAAAATGTGTAACTCATAAACGACAATCGTGATATTGTAACGATTTTTAATAAAATGAGTGGTTATAATTTATATAAACTATTTATTTACAACACTATATTATCTTAAAAACTAAAAGTCAACTAATAACAGCACTAATTATATTTTCAAAAATACTTATTCTAGAATCACCTAGATTAGTCTATCTCTATTCATTACAACGCCTTATGTTTGAGAATGCCAAGGCCACTATTCAAAACGCCTGCTTCGTCGTATTTTCTGGGATACCTAGGTCACTCTTTTGAACATCACGAAGATTCTCGTGTATGAGTCATCTTTTTGCCGAATTGCGACCATTATACGGGATGCATCGAAAACAAGCTTTTTCGTTAGCCTGCTCCCTCTTATATCTGGACGACCCGATCAGCAACACTATGTAGGCCCAAGATGGCTGAATTTATAGGACTATCCAGCTCTGCATATACACCTCAAATAACAGTCTACCCTAAGGACAGGGTTTCTTCGGGTTAATGCAACGCAGTAATTTGTACACCGTTTTCTCGGAAGATCATTTTAATCATGCTTGACACAATCTTCCAATCCAAATTTTCTAGTGCATGGCCTATCTTTGCTAAAGCCAAATTCTTGATATCATAAATACACACGATTTTCTTCAAATTAGAACACGCCTATGTTCTCGTAGCTTGCCTTCTCTGTGTAAAACGTCCTGGTCACCATATACAGCAAAGAACGAGGATCATCTAATCGCAGTACTCTTCGAACATTAGGCTGCTAATTTTTTAACTCATCGAAGCGACTGAACTTGTATTAAATACGGACGAGATTCCTTTAGTCATCTCGAGGTCTTGGGCAATGCAGTGTGTTGTGGAGACAATTTCCGGAACATTAAAAAGATCCTGCTGAACTTCTGTGGTTAAGCCAATCTAGCACTTTTGCTTTCTGCGTAATTTGACATAAATTCATTAAAGCTTGGTTGTCAGTCATCTTTGATCTCATTTTGAAGGATTCGTGCTTTTTCCATTTCATTTGAACCGGCATAAGGTGCAAGACGATTTATGTTAACAACTTTTGGTTTACCTTTTGTTTTTATTTTATGTATTCTCTTTTTAATTTCATACGGACTTTTCCAGTGTCTTTGCAGTTTAGGAGACAAGCCTCTACGACGTTGTGGATTATAAAGCCAGACGAGATCACTTCGTTCAAAGCTTTTATTCTTACATCGGGAAATATATTGATCTTTCATTCTCTCACATGCTATCTGGATGTTTGGTCGGGTAAGTTCATGAATGTTGTACATTCCTAACTTCAGGTGGACGACATATTCTTTGCTTGCAACATGTTCTTCGGTAGGTCTGGAGCCAAACTCTAGGTCGCAGGGCAAACGAACTTCACGACCCAATATCAAGCAGGTTAGGGTCTGGCCTGCAGTTTCATTCACGGCTAATCAGTAGGCCATTAAGAATAAGTGAACGTTCTGGTCCTAATCTCTCTGATGTTCGGATAAAATTTCGACAGGTGTTTTCCCATTGTTCTCGGACCATCCTCTCGACCATTCCATCTGATTGAGGATACAAGGGTGTCGTTGTAGTCTTATTGGCACCAATTAATTTACAAACGTTTTGGAAGAGGACTGACTCAAATTTTCGCCTTAGTCGGAGTGGATCTCCACAGAAATACCAACTTGACTGAAAAATTCTTTAACAAGTACCTCTGCAACGGTAGCAGCTTTTTGATTTCGTGTCGTATAGGCCCCAGTACATTTTGTAAAATAATCCATGGTTACCAGGATAATATATTTATTGCCATCATTCGTTTCTGGAAATGGACCTCCAGTGTCGATTACTAACCTTTCCATAGAACCACCAACATTGTATTGGTTCATGGGTGCCCTTTTTGTACCAACTGGACCATTACTTGTTGCAAATAGCTCAGAATACAACCATAATTAGTTCGCGCCGTGTCTGGGTTGAGGACTTCCCAGTCCGTCTTCCGCGGCGTTTAGAAGAGTCCTTATCCGTTCAATTCAGAACTCTTTCTCCACGAAAGTTGGCCACAGCATAAGCATCTAAGGTTAGGAATATACTTATAAATCATTACAAGCTTCTTACAAGCTCTTGTTGATTCGATAACATGCGTATTTTGTTTATGTTGGAATTAGTAAATATATATATTAAAAATGATGTGACAATTAATATTTAGATGACCCTTTAAAAAACGGTTATCTTTCCAAAACACTTTTTATCTCTAAATGTGTGAATGAGGTTTTTTTGTTCTATATACCTGAGATTATTTACGCAACATTTTGTTGATATTTTAAAATTTCTAGATAACGGTCAAGTTTAAACGAAACGATTGCAATCTATCAAAAAAACTCTCAGAAAAACTCTTGATCATTTTGCAAATAAGGTTATTTGTCTTTTTAAATGCCAGTATGCTCAACCTTTTATCTATTTTTAGAGGTTTTCTAAATATAACAGATATATTTATAAGGAATCTATCTTAAAAAATAAAACGCAGTCATTCAACTTTTGCGTATTTGTATTCGAAACCTATTTATTTTGAAAACAAAGCTCTTTATTTACAAATGGTTCATTAAACTTCAATTGAAATGCATCAGTTGCTGACTTGCTAATTTTCAACAAATAAATTACTTAAAAATAAACCGTTTTACGATTTTTCAAAAATTATCTGATCAGATTAATCTATTTTTCAACGAAACCACTATATTAATTATTTTTTACCTTTAGTATCTAACATTACTGCATACAATAAGATATTTTAGAAAAACTTAAAAGAAAGTCGGATTGGGGATTTTAGAGTAGTGTCGCACAACTTTGAAATGTAATACAAGGTGATTGCAACGAATAATGAAGAGACAAAAAAGAGAATAAATTTAGATAAAGATAGGACAAATAGGACAAATAGGATAAAAGAGTTCTAAACTATTTTTATTTTCTTAATTTACTCCTTACCTATTTGACCGTTTGCTTAAATGTCTTTTATTATTTAATTAATTTTGCAGGATGAGAGTCCATCACACCGGAAACCCAAAGGACGTGCTCAAAAGTATCTCACAAGCAGACAATACCAACAAGCAATATTTCCTTATGCTCGAAAATATCACTTCACAATATTCCCATCCGTGTATATTGGACTTGAAAATGGGCACAAGACAACATGGAGATGACGCGTCAGCAGACAAGAGGAGAACGCAGATGGCGAAATGTGCTGCTAGTACTTCGGCTACTTTGGGTAAGTTTCGGTTTCTTTCTCGACATATCTGTTTGCAGAACAATCTTCTTCTTACATGTTTCATCTTAAAAGTATGTTGAATACAGTATTGTGAATAATCTCTACCGTCGGTTCAAAATGGGACTATAACATCACGTAAGCTTGCTTTTTTATTTTGTGAAATCGGATAATCGTATAGATCAGAAATATAAGAAAGCAAAGTGAAAAATTATAGCGAAACCTATGGCGACGTACTAAAGAGATTTTTATGACGAAGCTATGGTCCAACCAGATTGACTTAGGCAGTAATGAACAAATTAAGACAAGATATCAAGTATATCCATAAGTAGAATATACCAAATAACGTCTGGAGAAAAAAATGGTTATGTTCATAATGCGAGTATGTAGTATCGACTACTACAAAAAGAATCGTGCTGCTCTGAGACTTTGAGTCTAAATTCGTCTCCACTTTGATTCCCAAAACTTTGGTAATTCTAGTTTTTCAGGTACAGTCACGAAATTTTGTGGTTAGTTCATTTTTAACATAAGAATCAGAAAATCAAAGGATACATACCTAAAAAAAATCGTTCAAAAATTATAGGATAAAAACCTAATTTAATCTTAAAAATTTTGAATTTTAGCAATTTTTTTAAATTTCACAATAGTTAAAACAATATGACTAATGTAAGTGCACTGATTGCCTTATTAAAAAAAAGAAGTATTTCGGATCCTTTGGGAGTTCACTTCGTAGAAACTCATAATTAAAAGTAGCATAATTAGGTTACTTAAAAAAAAAACACCAAAAAACTAACTCCAAAAATGGCACAAGCCAACAAAAAAAAATGTGTTATGAGGGGAGGTATGGAGGAATAAATGGAGTACATTGTGTCTCTGGTGATTCGTCCTTGATCTATTTGCACCAATCACCCTCACCCCAATGAATTGTATGCCCAAATGTTTCTACGGGTATGAAAGTCTCATTTCGGTAGGGGATTACTATTTGGTATATGGTACTGTTTTTATTGAATAAAGTTATTTCAAGTTTTATTAAAATAAAAGTGGACACGAGACGTCCCAGACGAGCCTTTTCTGACTACGTAATAAAAATGTAGAGGGGCAATCACGGTCGCAGACTCTATATAATCTGTCCCAAATAGATATCGATGACTCCAATCAGGGTCCTGCAGGCGAACCTTCAGCACAGTAATAAAGATTCTGTAGAACTTATTGTTACTATGTAAAAAATATTGACAATGTAAAACAGTACAAACTGTATGCCCACGTATTGCAAGGGGCCCACGACAACGAGAAGAGAGAAATTTATTAAGGTTTTTTTTTAACTGGATGTATCGAATAAATTTTTAAAATTTCGAGATTAGAGAAAACGGGTCTTGTAACGTAACTTTGTCCGGAAGTAATATTGGGGAATAAAGGGGAAATTAGAAATCCCGGTGTAAGTATGTTCACAATTCAAACCAGCGCTCAGGTGTTTTAAAAGACACAACGGCGAGCTTTGAGACTTGGGTCTATAGATTTATTATGGGGGATATTTAAATAAAGGGTAATTTAGAATTGAAACGTACCAATGGAAATGACAGAATTGGGTACAAAATGAAAGAGGAAAAATGGAGAAATAAAGGGCGCCACCTTGTTCTATTTCGAGGGACAAGGAAAATTCGATACATGTCATATGAGAAGATTGATTTAAGAACGATTCTAAAATAATGACAAATATGCTAAACCTCTATATAAAACCAAATGCATGCATAGTCAAAAGAACGATAACCAAACACATTTACCTTATATGGTCGCTCTACATTCCTGTCAGAATTATCTTATTATTTTCCAAAAGAAAAGAAGATTATGAGAGAATATTGTATTGAATAAATAATTGATACTATAATTAACAATTTTTATTTCTAATGGTGAAAAGTTCAGCCAAGTAAAAGTTAATATGGAAATACTAACTTAATAAAAAAATAAACCAAACAATGCTAATATCAAAATCAAATTAATTACTATTTAGCTGGGAATAAGCCACAATTAAAGGTAAAAATACGTTTATTGACGTTTCAATTTCTACTTTGGAAATCGTTCTCAAATTCTGGCTTATTCCCAGTTAAATAGTAATTAATTTAAAATGCCACAAGAAAATAGCTTCAGAACAATTCAAAATAAAAAATGCAAAGTAAGTCAAATCAGGATTTAAACAGATATTTCTAGAATTATATGGAGGTATAACTGGATAAAGTAGAAGTGTGAATTTCGTTTTATATTAAATGATACTCGAATTAAATAATACAAATAAACAAGAATGTTATGACATTACCTCAATTATTAGCATATCATGATACGTTAGTATGATAACTTATTATCTAGTAAAACATACCTACAAATATATTAATATTCCTTTGATTACTAGAGTACTTAATATACAAAATTTTGAGTTGTCCATAAAAAATAAAGGTTATTTTGAAATACATAAAGATTGGGAAACATATCCTATATAAAAATACGAAGCACTGAACTGCACTAAATACATATGAAACTGAAATTAATAATAAAACCACGTATATTTCCTTCGTTCGCCATTAGAAAATATTCAGCATTGTGTTTTCAACTGTTTTGACAGGTATTAAATTAAGTTAAATCAATTTACAAAGAATTCTGCTCATTTTAATCTTTAAACACTTAACTTCATTTTAAACACTTCCCTAGAATCTTCCTTTTTTGGGTTCGGACTCCCAACTTGAAGTCGACTTGTTCTGTCGGCATACCAAAGGAAAGTGACGCGATGTTAAAATTTATTCTTCCTCGAGAATGAAATGGAAAATCTTTAGGTGGATTTTTATTTATTCCACGGGTAAGTCGATGGTTTACGCGAAACAGAGACACATCGAATTAAAAAGTGATACAGTTAATATTTCATCTCGGACACAGCACTGGGCTAATTACAAACATACTCCAAAGTTGTTTATTCTAAAAATTTTAGAACGTAAAAGTATATGAACCATCTTCGGTTCTTATGATTTACAGGGTGAATAGAAAATGCTACAGTCTATGGAAAACAAAAATACCGGTAAGTGGTCTACTGGGCAAAAATGTTTAGGAAACACTGATCGAGTCTATAAAATATTGCTAGAATATAGCTTTGCTCCCACAAACAAGCCTTGATTTAAGTTTGGTGGTCTCTCAATAACTTGCTACAAATCTTGTCTTTGTTATTAAACTCATAAAAATTTAATAAATCATCTTTGATTAAATTCTTGACATATGTTCCTGAAGATCTTAGCCCTAGTATATACGGCGTAGTGTGTACTGCAAAAATAAAGACAATCAGATAAGAAGAATAATCACTAGTATATCGAAATCATGACAAAGCTTAGGTTTATGCACAGATGTTTCATGCACACACATGATTATTTTATAATTTGTGTAAATCTGAATTATGTTTTTAGTTTAGACCACCTAAAACAGTACAAATATATATATATATATATATATATATATATATATATATATATATATATATATATATATATATATATATACATATATATATATATTAAGGTAACTAGGTATATCTGTTTTTGTACTGTTTTAGGTGGTCTAAACTAAAAACATAATTCAGATTTACACAAATTATAAAATAATCATGTGTGTGCATGAAACATCTGTGCATAAACCCAAACTTTGTCATGATTTCGATATACTAGTGATTATTCTTCTTATCTGATTGTCTTTATTTTTGCAGTACACACTACGCCGTATATACTAGGGCTAAGATCTTATATATATATATATATATATATATATATATATATATATATATATATATATTTATGGAAACATTTTCCATTTGCCAGTTTTTATGTTTCAAAAACTAATTCTATAAATATTTTGGCAAGTTTCTTTGTTTATTATTATTAATACCTCATATCTAGACACACCATTATTCTTAAATATCTATATTTATAACAACAAAAATTCTCTTATCAACAAGAACTGTTTTGTAACACCACTTTTTCTTAACATAATAATGTTAGTAACAGAAACGTAGGTCATATTTTAAGGTGAAGTCTTGTATGATTTTTGGTAGCAAATAATACACAATGCTTTGTTCTGTTGTTGAAAGTATTTTTCCATTCGAATGACGCAATATACGATAATACGACACGATACATATGTAAATAACGATAATTAAAAAAATAATTCAGTTAAACATAACAACTATTGTGAGAAAAGTCAAAAATATGCCCTAATCGAATTGAAATAAGTAGTTAATAGAATAGTCTAAACGTCAAAGCATACACTGAGCATTTAGAAAAAAAGTAAGCTCTTAAGAATTTATATTGCGAATTAATTCCTGCAAAGGAAGTTGACGATAATTTTAAGTTCAATATTTTTCGGTATTTTTGTTTCTTTCAGTTGCGAAAGTTTAACTTTTTTTATCAGCTCCATCACATATCTCCACGCATTACTAGATCTTCCTCTTCTCGTTTTCTCCAAATTTTGCTTATTCAAATCTGTGTCCGTATTCCGATAACTGTCATTCTCATAATATGTCAGCCATCGTAGACGATGGGTCTTTATTATCCCGGTTACACTATTTTATGTTATATGATTATAGCTCTTTAAATTCTTGGTTTGTTCTTCGTACCCAATTGTTTTTAACCTTTTTCTACAAAATATTTTCATAAAAATCCTTCCTTTCCATTGTAAATTATAGATTTTACAGGTGTAGATTGGACTCAACAATCTTCCCACACTTCAACCTGACAGGTCTTTTATGTATACTTTACATCTATTTTGAGTCCAATAGATCTAAGCTTCCCAGAAAGCCTCTTAATTGTTTAGGAGCGATATTTTTTATCTGATCTAAAAGTCTGAAAAGGTTTGAAAAGAACTGTTTCAGGTACATTGGAGAAATATTTGCCCTGCAGTTGCAGACAATATGTTCGGCCGTTTCCTATGCATTTTCTCAGGATCTGCATCTTATTCTGAGTTCAGTATTTCGAAGCTGCAAGAGTATTTTTTCATAGAGAACAGAAGATTATAATATCCCTTTTGCTTGCCTTTGTCGTAAAGTGTTTTCCCATTAGTCCACATTAAGTTCCTTTTCCCATTTTCTGACATTCTCCATTATTCGGATTTTGGGTCCACCGCTTAATAGTTCTGGTCCGATTACTAACAATTTCTTTATATCATGACACCTACAGCAAAGTTAGTTTATTGTACCCTGTCAGTTGCTTAAGAGATTGCTTTCAGTTCCAAGTTGTTACCAAGTTGTAGACTTCAGAGCAGCTTTTTTGTCTGATGCAATAAATATTTTGATTGATTTGAGGCGTTTTTTCAGTCACTCTTTCAAAATCTGTTGCTACCAGTTCTGCCTAAAATATTGATGGAGTATTTTCGAAGAATATTGACTGTCTGGCGTTACGACCAGTAACCACTATTGGTACTTCCTCTTGTGTTTTTGACCCATCAGGGGATATAACGTGATGATACCTCACACCAATCAATAAAAATTACATGTCTCGTTTCGATATTCGTAACCTTCTGCTGCGGTTCTTTTAAGACAAATATTTAATAGGCTAAGTGCCACATACTTCCAATTGGGTTGACATCAGTACCTCTCTCTGGTACCAAGACAAATCTCGTGAACTGCCCAGGAGTTCCAGAGCTATATTTTTATATAAAATACAAAATCAGTATCCGCTCAAGTGAATGGACAAAAATAAGCCCAGACAGAAATGCGACTCATCTTCTTGCTTTGCTAGACTGTACAATTTTGGACTTTCGTAGATATTGATATTGGTTGGTAGATTTTGCTAACCTAGCTGTTCTAGACCTTCCTTCTTAGATATTTGGAACCTTCTTTGGAATGATTAATAATAACAATCTGTATTCTAAAGTATTCAAGACTTGTGTTTGTTAATATAGTAGAGCATGGACGTATAAATAAAGATATTTATTTATACGTCCATGTAGTAGTGCGTATGTGTTCGAACAGATGTGAGGATTAAGCAGATGGGGTTTTTAGCTATATCCCGAATGCCTGCTTTTGGTAAGCGTTTCAATATAGTCCCTAAGAAAGGTGGGAGTTTTCAGATACAATTAGCGTAAACAAGACTTGTTCTTCTTTTGTTCTGTTGTAAGTCGGAATATATTATATAATGCAGGCATTTATATTAATTATATACCATCTAATGGATTTTAGGTGGTAGAAAACGTAGCATAAGGAGTTGTAATAAAATACCAGGTCATAGTTTTCGATTTCAAGCACAGATGTCTTCCCAGTAATTTAATGAATAAATTATCAATAAATTATTATTGTACACCCAATTCGGTGGACACAGGCAAAAATTTAATTTTTTTCATTATTATTTTGAGTTTATGGAAAAAACGACTGGTACATAACCTGTTAATCATCCACTTTCCTATTGTTTCTGAATCCTATTTGATAGTATCTCATTCATATCTATCTATATTTGCTTTTTAAACATGGGGTATAGTTATTACTTTTGACCACTTTTTACTTACTCATATATTTTCTGTGTTAGTCTCATCTATATTTTTCATAAGTCGTTTATAGATTATTATTTACAAATGGAAAGTTTTTAAAGAAGATTAATGAAAATGCACTCCCATCATTCATGATTATTATAATTTTTTTATTAAAAAACAGGCTGCAACAGTAAATGCATTTGTGTCTTTCAATAGAGAGTTAGGAATTTTTGCGTTGTATGTTATCGACAATGAATCTGACAAAATATTCCCAAGCTGACCAAATAGACAATTCAATTTTTATATAAAACCCTGTAACCATATTTACTCCTTTGTAATGTATTATTTAAAATGAAATAACTGTTGAATTGAAATGCACTTGACCAAATATTGAATTAAAACATTGATATCATTGAACTAACAATTAACAGTTTACATAATGTAATTAATGGCATGTACCGTCGAAAGAACGTGATACATTTTTATATAAATAAAAGAGCATTAATTAAAAAATTGCTTGATAATTTCGGTTAATAATACAAATATACATAGCAACCAATTTGTTCTGGATTAGATTAAAAATAATAAAGAGAATAAGCAGTCAATGATAAAAGGTTAAAACAGCGGACGAGGTATTGGTTAGAGATTGTAGTTAGTTGTACTTTAGTTTTCTTTCTTTTATAACCGTCTATAAAAGCGGAATTTTCGTCCTTAACCTTGTCCTGATCCAATTGAATGTCTTATAGCTGCAATCCTAAACGATATTTAAGAGCCTTTTTAGAGTCTTAAGAGAACATATTAGCTACGATAAGTAAGAAAAATAAAATCTGCAATGTAGTTTCTAAAGTACTTCATGTTTTAGCCTTTGCGACGTCATTATCTTCATTCTATAATGCCTAAAATACATTTATTAAGAGAATCTCATATTGTGTATTCGTCGTCTGCTTGTTTTGCAACGTTTAGAAAATACAGATTTAGACTGAATCCTGAATTCGATTTTCGATTTATATTCTCATTCAGTCTATTTTCATAATGAATAATCGTTTTCTGCTATGTGAGATATCTTTTCTCTTTCAATGATTTATGAACTTTGAAAATAAGAAGGAAATGGTTTATCTGAGTTAACTTAAATATTTTTGTATTTTAAATAGTTATTCTACTTAATTTTTCGACAGATAATTTTTGTCTTGTTTAAAATTATCTTACTATGAATTCTGCCATGTTTTGTGCTTTGAACAATAAACACTACAATATTTTTTTAAATATAATTGAGTAATTTTTATTATTTTTTTTAGGCGTCCGATTAGGTGGTATGCAGGTGTATGACACGGACAGAGATTGCTACTACAAAAGGGATAAATATTGGGGACGAGAGCTGAACGAAGATGGCTTTAAGAGTGCTCTCTGCCGATTTTTCGACAACGGTTTTGGGCTTAAAAAGTCTGTGATCAGAAAAGTGATTACGAAGTTACAAAAACTTCGAAGTGTGATAGAAAAGCAAAGTTGTTACAGGTTTTATTCATGGTAAGTACTAATAAATTTAATCAAGGAAATTACAATGTTCAAATAATGTGAAGTGTCACTGATATCTTCTGGCATGATATTTTTTATGTAACGTTCATCATTTAACTGTGAAAAGATAACAATCGTAAACCTACAAAACCAGATTGAACCGTTCTTCGTAGAATGTCAGTGCATTTATCAACATAAATGTAATCATAGGAAAATACCAAGAACTTTTGCTACTTAAGAAGCATAGTCGAGACTATAGGAGACATGGAGAAAGATATACTACTTCTATGGAAACGTTGCAACGAAAATATTTAAATTCTAAATAAAACACAGATATCAACGGCAATAAAAATTAGGATATAACTAAAGGTAGTTCAATCAAATGTGAAAATAAATACGGATGTATTATGGTGATTGGAAACTTCTTGGAAAAAGAAGAAATAAATTTCATATTAAAAACTCCAAATTATATACTATATTCTCTGTCTTATATAATTAGTAACGTATTCAGGAAAAATTCATTAAAAAATGATTAAAAATGGGGCATATTACCGGAAAACTGAATTTGAAGATCCTTTTAACTGTTGCCTACACGAAAATTGTTTTTTCATATTTCGAAAAATTGCATTTTTTTTTACAAATTCTAACAAAGAAAAACTTGGCTTAGGACAATTTGGGACGAAGTTATTTCCTTGTTTTTTAAATTGACAGCAGCTTTGTTTATAACAATTAAGGGCGAGCGCCCACCAAAGTGGCGTGGCAGTGGCAAGTAGCAAGTAGCACGCGTCTAGCATAATGTAACCAATCCTAACGAATGATTAGAATGAATGACGTTACTGTCATTTTGGTGTAAACTGAATCATTCGTTTTCATTGGTTACATTATGCTAGACACGTGCTACTTGCTACTTGCCACTGCCACGCTACTTTGGTGTGCGCTCGCGATACCTTATTAGCGTCATTTGAAAGAACATAATTTTAAAGTTTTAATGTTGGAAATTTAAAAGAGATTACCTGTCAATGGGATCGTTCACAAAGATTCAAAATGTGGTCCTAAAAATCAGCCGGCTTTGAAACTCGCAGGAGCTATGGAGGGGGGAAGGAGCTGTTAATTGTATCTCTGGTTCTTGTTAATGGATTTTTCAATAGGCTGGACATCGAATTTAAAAATTAAAAATATGAGGTGAAAGCTTAAGTCCATTAGTTTCAAAAGTCCACTTTGATTTTATGTGCCGTAAGTCAGTTTAAAATATCCAAAAAGAAATTGAATAGCGAATATCGCTATGTGCAAGTACTTAGAGGAGATACGAAAAACGATCGTGCGCGTCCAGCGATGAAATCTTGCAACTTTGTTAGCATATTTCATAAGTAGTTATTGAAGAAAATCGAATTTCGCAAATGCTGTGTTATAAATTGTAAAAATACTACAAGAAATGGTAAATTCAAGTTCTAACGGTTTCCAACTTCTGAGCACAAAATAATGCAACGACAAAAGTGGATGTATATCATAATAAAGCAGAAATAAGTAATAACTTAATTCGATAAACTTTCTTCGTGACTTACAAAATAAATAAGAGTACTTTTTACTTTTATTATACACAAAATTGCAAGAGATATCTGTAATAATTCTTTTGCCATTAATCTAAAAAAAAAACAAGAAACATTTAATAAATAATAACTTAGGAACATACATTTTTGCATCATATGGCTCAGAGGTGACTGAAGTTTGTCTAATAACACTTGCTTGAATTAAATAGTTTTGTCCATTTTTTCTCAATTCTTCTATATTCTTAACATGGTTTACCACAACTAAAGCTTTTTTCTTTGACTCAGTAGTTGGTTTAAAAGTTATTTTATGATTTATTTTGTGGAATCTGGTTTTTATTATTGCATTCATATTAATGATAAAACATCAATTTAATAATTAATTTTATTTACTACATATAATGTTTATCTTTTAATAACCTCAATCTTAAATGTCAAATAATGAAATCTAAATGTAAAAAATATACTTACGAATTTTTACAGTTAAAATCGTATCAAAATTTTCCAAGTTAATTACAAGTTTAAGTCACTTTATTTGCAGCTAATATACGACTCAAATATTATTAGTGATAAAACCTTCGCTGATTTATGCCACTAGGTGTCGCTCTTCGGAACTTACACATAGCGAATACCGTTGCGTTTCGAGATATATAGACTTAACCAATGTCTAAACTTTAAAGTTCGAAACACATTGTTTATTTTTTACGCACATGCCGAATCTTATTTTATTTTGACAGCCACAATTTACTTATTGGGTAATTTAATGTTAATTAGATAAATAAGATTCTGTAGTTTATTCATTGAAGATTGATAAGCAAAATATTTTTTAAAACATTTGATACATATCGTCTGACTAATTGAAAATTTATTGCGTATTTCAGCTCATTGTTAATAGTATATGAAGGCAACGGCATCCACCACCAACCAGGTTCTTCTCCAGAATCTTACTATTCCAAGGTTTTAAAGTCATGCTGTGACGACGATTGCACACAAGCATCTGAAGACAATAGCAGGGAGGTGCATTACTGCTATGATGCGGACACTTCCAATTCATCCACAGATTTTAATTCCATGCACGAAGACGTCTCCCAAGATACCCACCATCGAAGTTTTGGAGAAGCAGCAGCACGAGGCGCCAATTCATCCTCTTTTTTCCCCATATCCGAAGAAACTGTGTTCTTAAATTCCTCCCCGACTTCCAGTATTACTCCCTCCAGTCCCTTAGACAGTTGGATGGTATATTCTAATAGTAGTAGTGGGGAATATACCCTTCCAGATCAATCAGACAGTTCCAGTTGTTCAAACGAGGAAACTTCCGATGCCGAGCTACCATCTAGCAAGCGAAACTGCAAAATGCCATACAAGCATCAAACCGACGAGGAATATGAAGATATACTGCCCATTCCGAAACGAATTTTCGTCGAGGATTGCTCTTCTTCCTTTACAAACTCCGCTGACGTAGACGTAAGAATTATCGACTTTGCGCATACGTCCTTTGCTAGAAGTAACGTTGTGACGAAAAACGTTCATCAAGGACCCGATGGCGGGTTTTTGACAGGACTTGACAGTCTGCAAAGGTTACTAACACAAATAATGAACATGGAAAATTGAGTAAGAAATGTTTTTAGGTGAACCAGAATTTAAAATTAAAATAAATTATTTTTCCAATTAGAAGGGCTGCTATTTTTGAGATTAGAGTGGATTTATGAAGTTGAACTCGCCTTATAAAAGAAACTTACTTACATTTTCCGCGGAATTTTACAATATTTATTAAAACCAAAGATATTTTTACATAAAAAATCTTTTAGAATGATTCTTTTTTGTAAATAGTTAAATTTATTGTTTTGAAAACCAAATAAAGCATGCCAATAACTTAGTATCAGGGACTACTAGAATAATATTTTTGACATTTGTGTTTTTATGATTATTTTATGGGTATAATTTGTATTATTTTTTGTATGTAACGGGTGCAAAATGAATTTGAAGCTTTTCGAACAGCAAACTTAACTATATCGGCATCAGCGCGGCGTACCAAATCTCTTTAGAAATATTAAATATTTTGTTGTATTGATATTTTGTTAAATTTAAGCCTATTTTTCGAAAACAATAATTATTAGTCACATTAAGATTTATTTTAAATTACTCTTTTTAATTAATGTTTAGTCAGTAACCAAAACATAAAATATGTAAGTAAGTTGCTTTTAAAGCTTCTTTAAAGAAGGTCGTAAGTTTTAGACTTAGCTGTAGCTCAGATGTTGCTTTGTGGTATCATTTTGTGATAAAGAATTCTCGTTATAAGAGTAATTTATATCTGCCCTAATTTTTGATAACCTATGTGGTATTATAACTTAGTTTAACATTTTAATCTTTTATAATATACAGAATTAAAAGTATTAAAAGTACACAGAAGTGGGGTCAACAAGACATGAAGACGTATGAGTAACAGACCTAATATGGAGACCAAATAAAAAACAAAACATCGAGTTGCATTGAGGAAAATTGTTACATTTTAGTGTGAGATCAAAGAACATCAAAACTCAGCGATATATTAAATATAACATTTGTCAGTATAGCTTTCAAGTTGAAGACTTTTTCTACAAAGAAAGATATATTTCATATGTAGATGTAAGCTAGGCAATGAAGCAATAAACCTATCAAAATTTTGCAGTATAGTTCGCCAAATATAGCTGAAAGTGTGAAAACGCGTGACGATCATGATGCGCATTCGTCAAACGACGGACCTCGCACTCGCACTGACGGTCCAGACCGTTTGTATGTGCGTTCTCACTTCTTTGTTAGCGCAGACAATGGTAATTTCACACTTTCAGCTATATTTGGTGAACTGTATGATGGATTTCAATGAAATTTTTTGAATTCGATTCGTATGAGTGTCAGGAGATTTTGTGAATAAAAATGATGATGTGAGAGTGACATTTGCATTATTAAAACATGGAAAAAACATTTTACAAAGTGCATTTTGAAGTAATAAAAAATGATAAATTTGTAAGTCGGAAATAATTGATGGAAATGAGTTCCATATTACTACTCGGGGGTTTTTGCGATCACTGAACATGAATATCATGACGGCGATGTTCTTCGAGGCACATAGTGTACCGGGGCATGAAGTGTTTTGAAAATTCGATACAAAATCATGTGTGGTATGTCTTGAGTGCCAAGGGCATCGGAGACCATCACTCAATATTCGTGATCAACGATCCCAACAACTCCCGAATAAAGAATTTGCACAGATTTAATTTCCCAAAAACTCCAGGTACTTCGGATACTATCGCCGTTATAATATTCGTGTTTAGTGACCCCAAAAACCCGCCAAGTGGTAACATTAAACTCATTGCCGCCAATTCCGTAGTTTTCATTTCCACATCATCATTTTTGTTCAAAAAATTTCCTGACACTCATACGAATCGAATGCAAAAAGTTTCAATGAGATCCATCTTACTCCAACAATTTGGTTTGGTTTCAATAATCCTGAGTAAACTAGCATTTTGAAGTAGGTAACAGATAAAACAATGTCTTTTTAAAGATTTCTGAATAAAAAACACAAGAAACCTAATTACAACAAAATGGAATGAAATCGCAGATTGGTCCCTGATAAACAAAATTGCAGATTATCAGGAACATCATCGATAATATGAGACTTCAAACTTCTGAATAGACCTCTTACAGGTAACTGATGACAGTGATATTAAAGATAAAAGTTTTAAATACAAAGTGAGCTAATTAAATAGAAAGAATAAAATAGTTGGCAGTTTATAAAATTGTAAAAGTTCTGAAAATCAATCAATAATTAAACCTTCTATAATTTCACAAAATATAGTTAGTTTATAAAAGAGAAAAATATATTTGTTAGTATACGAAGAAGGTTGCGTTTCGATTTAATTTGAGTCACCACCGTCATAAGAAGGAGTTTGTAAGAAGACTCAAACCAAATCAAAACGCCCGACTACTCTGGCAATTACAGGAAATAACTACCTACCTATTTGTTAGTATATTTTTATTTAAAAGACATTCTCAAGTATTAAAATGAATTAAGTTTTATATATTTATTATCCATCTTTATTTTAAAAATGATACCAAAGAGACAACACTTGAATTTCTCGAATAGGATGATGTTGCTGCCAAAATAACTATTAAGTATTCTTTTCTCAGTGTTAACAAAGTGAATTTACGTGAAACGCTGCAACAGAACCTGAATTTAGATATTTTTCTTAGCTACCATTCCATTATTATGTTAGTTTAAAACTTGAAAATTGGTCGTTAGCTAAGTAGTTTGGGTTCTTCTTGTAACGTAGAGTAAATGAAAACGGGACGTATGTTGATGAGTTTTGTTCGATATACAAAACCGGCATTTAATTGAATAGTTTTAAAAATTAATATAGTACTTGAATTTTACGCATTTATGCATTTAAATATGTACAAATAACCAAGATAAATTCGAAATATATTTTTTAAAACAGGAAATTATATAATAAAACCTTACAAACTGTTCGCTGTTTTTTACAAAGATTAAAATTAGTTTCTTATTCAGTTGAATTGTCTGGTGCTTTTGGTACATTTAAAGTACCTTTATAAGAAACATCACCAAAGTTTTAAATTGATGTTGTAATAACAATCATCTTTTTTTTTCATCACATTTAATTATATTTTTTATTTTTTGATCAGTAATTTTTCTGTACTACAGTACTTTCTTCTACATATAATTAACAATAACTAAATCTAAGCGGTTTTCAAATACCTATCCTTTGATAATGTTTTCTTAGCGATTTGTTTCTTAGCAATCTTGACATCTCCTCATCCCATTAGATTTCATCAATAAAACTACAGACTTGAGTAATCACTAACTTCGTTCAATTTGCCAAAAGATGGCGCTGAAAATAGACAAATATAAAAATTCGATTGTTAAAAGCATTTTTAAATTAGTCTCGTGCTATTATTGTGGTTTTTATCTGTTTTAGTTTATTTACCAGTAAATGCATATATTATGGTATCAATATTGCTCTTTCTTTGAGATTTTTTTAAGTTTAGCTAAATTTTTAATTAGTCATGCATAGGTATATGATACTCTTACACCAATGTCAATAATTTGTCCGTTCTATTTCTTTATTTCCCTCTCTCTCTTTGTCTCTCTCTCTCTCTCTCTCTCTCTCTCTCTATTTGTTCCTCTTTCTATCCATCTGAAGACGCATATGGTGAAGTAAACATTTTAGTCAGTTTTTTAGGTTAGTGGCCGAAGTCGTTTTTTCTGATTATCGCTGGAACAGCTCACTAAAAAGCGAAACACATGCCCTATCTTACTAGCAAAATTGATCCTTTAATCGAGAGCTTTAATTTCGCATATGTCTTGACCTTATGTGACTATGTTTATTTGACTGTAACTATAGTATAACTAACTGACCAAACAAGAAACAATGACAACATAAATAGTTTGTAAGAATCTTAGTCCTACAAAGTTACAAAAATATATTTAGCCAATTTAACAAAAAATATGTGTTGAACTCAGCAATTAAGCATATGAACTACTTTGCTGTTTTAGCTCAAAAACTTTCATGACGTTTTATGTCTTATAATTTCTACAGAACCTACTTTAAATCAAACTATATTTAGCCTGGTTACTTATTGAACATATTTAATGTCGCAAAATGTTATTAGTGTCCGTTTTCATTAAAATATTTAGCAAACCAAAGTATATTTTCTAAAGAACACTTAAAAAAATCTGGTTTTACCATTAGCCGGTGCTTACATAGAATTTTAAAGAAATTTTTATTTTTACTACTAATTAAGAGTTTGTTCCAAATAAATCTATCGGTGTAGACGTAAAGAAGGCAGAAAATTTTTTATCTAGATGTTTAGGTCGTACTATCACTTTGGTTATCTTTCTTTTTATGTTAAAAAGATCCCTTATTTTCAAACTGTGATTTTTGAATAGTTATTTTTTATTGATGTGAAAGACGAATGAATGGAATTTCTAGACATTCCGAGGTTTTCTTACAAAGATTATTAGTATATTATGTTCAATATAAATCGCTATTACTAAAAATGATACCTGTTAATAATGTATGACTTCTTAAGACGAAAATAGATTTATATGATGGCGATAATTATAGTGATTGGATTACGGAACGTTAGAACGTTAGAAAATATAAATAGGCGAACTGAAACTTCCCAACGGTATTTTTATAAGTAGGTAATGAGCTGAAGCATTTTCATAAAACCAAAATGCAAGACATAATGATGTATTTATGTAAGATTAAAGAATATTGTCCGATGTGGAATTGGTGAACGATAGGGCGGGATATTATTAGGAACAGGTTATTATTTCGATCTTATGCACAAATATATAGATTAATTTAACATTAATTAATTAATTATTTACACAGGGAGGGGGCGAATGTATAAATCATACTAATAAAAAAATAAAAACAACGTATGAATTCAAAAATGAAGAGACATTAAAAAAGCCGCAGGTTTTCAACTAGATTCAATCAAATATAATTCAATTAAAATATTCAAAAAAGGTAATTCTAAGTAATAAAGGGATAATTTTTAAGAATATTGTAAAACTCAACAATTCAAAACATATTTTATAATTCGGTTTTTTGTACCGTTGATCCAAAAGCCTTATGTATCTTTATTTTCTGTCATAGTTTTTTATCTTTTGTATTTTTGTATTATAGCGATTTATATTTTATACAAATAAACATTTTAGCTTTATTTCAAATTTAATTTAATGCAAATAATACAAGCGTAATTTAATGAGGACTAAATCATTACTTTTAATATTTGCGTGTTATAAGGTAATCCCTGGTGAATATTATTATAAAGAATGGTGTTTAATTGATTTGCGGTCATTGGTGTTTAATTTTTATTTCGATAACACATTTTTAGATGGTTTTTGAGACCAATGAAATTTACCAAACGTTTGATAAACCGAAAAGTTTAAAATACTTCGGTCAATGAATAACTGGTTTGTTTATTGGCTTCATGTACATCTTGAGTTATTTTTTTTTTATCTGATTGGGACTACTATTATTACTCATGTTAGTACCTTATAAACTGGAACAGTCAAAGACAACCTCTTTGATTATTAGAGAAATTATAAAATCGTCTTTTTTATGATTTAATATATTTGATTGTCTCTTATATAAAAACTTAAAAATCTCATAAAATATACATTGCAAAAGGTATAATTTTGCAAATGGGCATAGAGTATTATATGTTTGTGGTAAATGCGACAACACTGATAAAAATATCCTCACTTTTAACCCTTCACTCTGTAGCCGTCCGAAATTTGCTGAGAAGTCTACTTATGAGTTATTTGTATCTAATTAAAATTAATTGACTAGAATGAAAACAATTTATTTGGGCTAAATTTTTCTTGATTTAATTTATTATTAATATTGGTTTTTAGTTTGAAATAGTCATAATATTGTGTCCATAAGAATATTGAACTTTTTTTTTACATATGCCTATAAGAGAATAACAATCTCAGAAAGGTACAAGGTGTAGATTTAATCCAAACTCATTCAAATTTCTGTCTGCTATTAAATTGAAATAGTGTAAAGGTTTAAATATTTCATACATTATTTTTTGCAACTTATCTGAAAATAAATTAATATTCATTGTCATGTTTCTTTAATATCTACGGACAAATTTTCTAGGAGAAGTATACACTCTTTATAATTCCACAAGTCACGATAAATCCAATGGTGAGGATACTCTATTCACCAACGCATTTGCATGTTTATTTACATTGTTAAACCCTTTATAAAAGGTATAAAATTATTCCGTCTATAGGAATCTTGCCTATGTTTTAGTTGAAATCTCCATATCTCTAAATAGGATCATCACCAGTAGCCATTTTGAGTTCACTGCTGAACACAGGCCTTCCATAAATAGTTTTATTGCTTTCGGTCTTGAGCACCAGTCAAGTTGTGCTGGATGCGCTTGATTTCGTCTGACAATGATATTGCTTCACGATTACAATAGGCATCGTGTCTAGGTCTTCATTCTAAAATTTTCTTGGTCCACCTCTCACTCTGGCAACACGACCTGCTCAGTTCTACTTTAGCGTGGTACTTTATGTAACTGCGTCGGTAACACCAATTTTTTCATAACTATTTGATTTGAAACTTTTGTTTCTGAGTGATATATTCAACATTTGCCTCTCCATTGCTCTCTGTGCTATTTGCATACGTTAAACCGGAAACACACACTGATCAAAGACCTGCCTTTTCAAGAAAATGGGAATATCTGATCTAAAGACTTCCCTCGCTTTTCCGTAATCTGTCCATGCTAGCTTTATTCTCCTGTTTCTGTTGTTTGGTTGTACCTTCTTAATTTAATCTCGTGATCGAGATACTTGTTCAAATTGTGTGCCATACATTAAAATGTTTTTGGCCAGTACCGTTCAAAACCTAGAGTTCTGAAGTTTTTGAAGAAATTGACGGGCATGATCTATTCAGTCCGTAATAAGGACTATGTCGTCTGCAAACCATAAGTTGTTTAGAAACTTCCCATTTATGTTGAATCAATATTTTCCCTATTATTGTTTCTTATAGCACTCTGCAACAAAGCAGTAAATAGGTTAGGAGAGATGTTGTCTCCTTGCCTAATACATTTCTCCAAGGGAAAAGCTCTCCAAAGCCACTCCTAAATCCGGCTCTAGTGGTTGGTGAAATTCTAGCTTAGGTCCCAGTCCGTTAGTAATTACCCATCTCAAGGTATAAGAAGTGTACACTCATATCCCCGTTCGCACTTGAGCGTGCGGAGATATAATACTTACCTGCTACCACGGGAAACAACATTTAGCAACAACGGTTGCTATTTAATGGTTAATGCATAGTTCCAAAATTAATGCAGTGTGTCTGTTTCATCGGACTTAAATACTTATGTGCGTAATATTAATTTATTCTTCTAGAAGTAGAATAAATATTCATGTTTTTGTTTAGTTATTCATTAGGAATCGCTATTTGGTTTTTAGTTCTATAATAATTGTTTTCTTTATATTCTCTAGTGAATTAAAAGATATTGTTAAGAGTTTGTGTTTAGTTGACGGATTTGAAAATGAAAGTATTTTAGTATATCGTATAAATATCTCAAAATTTTAAAGGAGTTTTTATGAAAATTTTGTTAATAAGATTTTTTTAACAAATGATTGCCTATTATAAGGCATAACATAAAAATTAATATTTTCAAACTCTAATGTTCATCGTTCGCTAAAGCATTTCGACAATGAAGCGAATACGAGTCAACCGCCTGCACCGCTTGGCTATCTGACCGACTTATTTTAGTTTTTCTTCATTAAACGAAATACAGAAAAATTAACGAATTTTATTCTACTGCTGAGTCTGTATTTTTGCTATAACACTTGAATATTTTATTGCATAGAATAAAAAATCTTTCGTGTATCTTAAACACCATTTGTCTGATAAA